AAGAATATAGCTAGAGATGCTTACACGACTCACGTTAGAACCCATTGTATTTTTTTTCCCCAGTACTAGGTTATGCATGGTTCCCTTGGTATTTGAGAAAGCATACACATTAAATATTTTAATAAGCATGAATGGTTCACTCAAACGAGCAATCACCTTTAGCGCTTGAGAGAGAGAAAAGATGAGACATTATAGGCTATAGTTTCTCTGACAAAAAAAGGGTTGCAGTTTTGCTTTGTTTGTAACTAGAATTAGATTTGGCATTCAATCATCGATAATGGACACAACCCCATGTCCATTATTCACATTTGGTGTGGATTAGGCATGTGTGAGATCTTAATTTGACACTTTTAAAAAGTGAACAAATATATAACTCAAGTTAGGCTTTTGTACAAAGGACTAGAATAAGATTATACACTGATCTAGTAGTATGACATGTGCTCTTGTAATGATTGAGACACTACATCTTAGTATATATTTCATACGCTTGTGCTTGGCGACCGATTAAGGTGGTGAAGCAATGGATTCCTACTTCGTTATGGTGTGAGTCCTTTAGGTCATTTTTAAATGACTAGTTTATTTTTATATTATTAAAATTCTATGCACTCTTTGACTTTTTAACTAGGTTGTGAAATCAAATAATTATTGTTTAACTACTTTGGCTTGTTACTTATAATTATGATTGATTTGGCCTTATAGGATCTTGCTAGGGAGCAAGGATCAAAATATCGTTTCGAAACGGTCGAAACATTTAAAACGTTTCCGTTTTCAAGGAGATCGAAACGAATTAGTGATAAAATCGAAATTCTAATACTTCAAGATGTTTCATAATGTTTCAAAATTTTGTTATATTTTAATACATTTGCACAATTATTCCGGACCGTTTCAAGATACTTTATTATATTTCAACCAATATTTTTAAAAAATAATTCTTAAATTTTTTATTATGTTTTTGAAACGTGTTGAAATGTTTTCGAAATATGTCGAAACGTTTCCGTTTCTTAGGTGATTGAAATAATACACCAGAACGAAATTTTGATCCTTGCTAGGGAGGCGGTTAAATAAACACTAAGTAACATAAGGACAAAGGGAAGACCATTCGAGACATCTTGTGATATATTCACCGTTGAAAACTTTGAGCACTATTGTACGTAGTGACAAAGTGTGAATGTATAGTCGACTACTTAGAGGGGTTAAACATGCTTATGAGGGATTAGAGATGCTCAAATTTGTGTATCTGAATGGGTCTCTATGCTAGCTTTGCTTCTGTTCCAATTGTAGAGCTCCCAAATTGTAGGTATGCTCAACTGTCCCATGACCCAATTAGTCTATATGAATTAAAGTTAGTTTATATGATTTATTAAAAAAAAAAAAAGTGATGAACCATGTGTGAGTGGAAGATGTTGGATATCAACCATGGACACCCATGGTTGGTCGAACTGATTAGAGACTAACCAAGGAACCTTTTTTTTAGGTGTCTCTTAATACCTAGAGGACATGTCTCTCAAACTTTAACTAGTTTGTCTCTTCAAAAAGTGCCTCTTCATGGTACCTCTTTTCTATATAAATCCCCCATGCCAGGTAATTCAATATACCTCAATTCATTTGATATTCATAGATTCTACATAACATTCAAGTGAAGGCTTGTGTTGTGCAAAATCAGGGAATCAGGGTTGATTCTCTTTATGACAATACTATATCGCTAGAGTAATAAGCAAAATAAAGTGATATTGGATTTCTAAAGTATGTGGAACATCCTCCAAGATTGTGAGATTGAAGCAAATAAAGTACATTTTGAATGCTTCCACACTTGTTTATGATTCCCAATATATCGTTTGACACCTGTTAGGCGCATACTTCCGAGATCATCCATTTTGATGGCAAGAATTACTATCATTGAGAACATTACTTGGGATTTCTATTAAATTATCTAAAGGTTGTCTATGTTCTTACCAAAACCCTAAAATGTGTTGATATTACTCAAACAAAGTCACATTTTTGACATGTAAAGAAGATTGAACTAACACCTGACGTTTATGTTCTTGAATTAAAATTGTCACAAAAAATGGTACCATCAAGCATGGCTTTAAGAAAAGAGATCAATCAAGTAACACTCAATATTGCGAATTCAAACTACTTCCATTTGTAAAAATGGTGGACATGTTGGTGGTTAGTTGACACTGGAGTGCCGCGAGACATGTCCATGACATTAGGAACATGAATTACTAACTTTAAACCTAATCTTGGAACTAGGAAATCTATTGTTTCTATTCAACTTATTAATTCCCCAAAGAGTCCTTTTAGTTTCTCAACATACTTATATAGTTCCAGTCATGTATGAGTTAGATAGTGTTAGTTTGAGTATAGATCGACTTTGGTTGATAGAGAAGAAGGATTTTTTTTGGTTAAATGCTTACTCTACGTTTTGTGCACAATAATTTTTTTAACCGGGAGTAGAATGAGCACAATAATAGAATAAACTTGGAAATGAAATGGAATGTACATTATCACTTTGACGCCTAGAAATAACTAGTATTAAGTGTTTGAATAGAGTTGTTAGTCCATGTTAATGTTTGGATAAAACAATCTTTCTTCTAGAATGAAATGAATTCAAATAATTACAACAATTTTCATGCCCCAATCACCACCACCTCCTCCACTCTACCACCATCTCTTTCACATGCCCACCATGCCCATCACTGCCACCACCTTCCCCCCTCCACCACCAACCTCACAGTCATTGCAACTACCATCCCATTGTTTTTGCCTCCACCTCCACCTCCACCACACCACTACCACTACCACTACCACTACCACTACCACGATGATGGTAAGAGTGAGGTGGTGGTAGTCAGTAATGGTGCTATGGTGGTAGTGTGGTGAAAAGGTGGTGGTGACAACAACTTGGGTGGTGGAGGCGATGACGATGTCTGCGGTAATGGATGGGATGCTATGGTGCGGTCGGATGGTGAAGGTGGAAATGGGTGGTGATGGTTGTGGTGGTGGGCGATGGTGGTGGCTAGTGGTAGCAACAATGGTGGGTGGTGCAAGTGGTGGTGGTTGTAGTTAGGGAGGGGATGGTGATAGTGATGGTGCGATGGTGATGGCAAGGGTACTAGTAGTTAGAAGTGATGGTGTGTCATTGTGGTGGAGGAGGTGGACATGGTGGTGGTAAGGGTGATGGTGATGGCAAGGTGGTGATTTGGATGGTCGGGGTTAGGGGGAGGGGCATGTCTTTTGGTCTAGTGGATGTGGCTTATTGCTGTATGGGGTAATGGTTTTATATATTGTTTGGGAATGGTTAATCCTTTATTTATGGGAGTAGGCATTCCATGTAAGTTAGAATGAATTTTCACTACCACAAAGCAAACATTGAAATGCACATTACTTAATAGAGAATAAATTCTTTACAGTTAACCTGTAAACTAATTGTTTACAGACAGCCAATCAAAATTTGATAGCTACACAAACTTATTGGAAATCCTCAACATTAGTTTGTGTGCTTGTGTGGTTGTCAAATTTTGATTGACTGCCTATAAACAATTGGTTTACAAGCTCACTATAAAGAATTTAATCTCACTTTCTAATAGTCATTCCATTTGCATGCTTTGTTACCACATATGAAACACAATTTTACCCTCTTGGTGATTCTAATTGAGGGTAAGTTTTGCTCTGTATCTCTTTGATGGCCTCCACGGAATGACTTATATCTTATTACTTGAATTGCTCATTGTGTCACCTCCTATATCTCTACATCCACGGCGTCATTGGTCCATACTACAAAAGTTGAAGGCAATGATCAAAATTTTGTTTCGATGTATTATTTCGGTCACCTAGGAAACATAAACATTTTGACTTATTTTGGAAACAGAATGAAAAAAACGAAAATTTTAAGAATTATTTTTTAAAACATTGGTCAAAATATTTCAAAGTATTCTAAAATATCTTGAAACATTCTGAAACAATTGTGCAAATGCATTGAAATATTACAAAATATTTCGAAACATTATGGAAAACCTCGAAGTATTAGAGTTCTGATTCTATTACTGATTCGTTTTAAAAATTTCAGATGTTTCAAAACGAAATTTTGATCATTGGTTAAGGTTTTGAATTGTTTTCCATCACTATTTATGTATCCTGCCTTTGATTCTGCTATAGGAAAGACCTCTTTCGTAGATTTACTGTCATTAGGGTCCTATGCAGTCGACAATTAGTCTTATTTTGTTTTGAACTTGTTTCAATCTTATTTTGTTTTAGACAGACTTTGTTTTATACAGCATTCACTCATTTGTTTTGTAATCATAAGGAAAAGTATTAGCAGCCAAAAGCAGAAATAGGCCTCCAATGCTCGTGGAAATGCAATAATGCTATTCTCACTTCGGCTGTCAGAATTGTTATGGAATCTATTCGTGACTGAAAAGTTTTCATAAGGTACCCTCATCATCATTTGTCATAAAAATAAACTTTTGAAAATATTCTCTCATTTCAGCAGAAATTGTTCCAAATAAACAGGCAGAAGTCAGTTGATTAATAAGTGGGGCTGTCTAAGCTGAAGAGTATCATGTCAGCTGCTTCAGTCCAATGTCTGTCATCAACTTTACCTTCCATCACCTCTCCATAGCCATACAAGAGCAGTACAAACTTAGCCTTGATGGAACTGTATGATATGTATCATCTATTTGTTTCCGACTTCTTGTTTAAACTAAAAATCCATGCCCGTATTTAACTGCACTAGGACTTACAAGCAGGTTGCCTTCGACTCTTCATGTCTCATGGAAGAACAAGTTTTTTATTCAAATAAATATCATACACAAGCTATTGTGTAATAGCATGGTTCTAGCAGTTCTTGCATATTGAAGTTAAAGATTGGTTTTGAGGCAAGACATTATGATACTTCCGTTAGGCAATTAGTTCAGTGCCCTAAGGGGCCTGGTGCATGAGAGATGGAGGATTGCATGTGCCCAAAAAAATATTAGTTTGGTGCTCTAAATACCTACTCTTTAGCCAAAAGGGGAAAAAATCTCATGCAACATAACATATATTAAGGTGCAAGTACATGTATGGTTCAAAGTATCAGATGGTACCGATATGAGTCGACCGAGATCGCGGCTTTGAACCATGAGTACATGTGGAACTTATTTTAGGCTTATAAAAGGGCTTACTAAAACCCACAAAAAAGAACCTTATTCTCAGTAAGAATCAATAGGATTTATACAAAATTTAATTCTCGGAAACTGTAATAACTTCTAACCGGAAAAGCTTTAGATGGAGACACTGTTTGGAATTCCCTTGCCTGTAAGTCCTATCTCGCTGCTAGGATAGAGTAAAGTGTATGGCATCTTCGCTGGCCCAACCCTGTTCCTCCAATACTCATCATTGTTCATTTTGGTAATTCTATCCTCAATCAATGCCAAATTCTTCCCAAATCTTTCAAAAGCTTCCAGTGGTTCTGTATCTGTTGTCCATTTAGGAGTGTCTCTGCGCCCAAGAAAAACTTCATCCGAAGAGTGCCTAGACAGTATCTCTATGAGGGAAATGCCAACAATGCTCTGCAGCTGGGCAGTAATCGTTTTCAAGAAAGCCTTCTCAGGGTTTGATTCAAGCTCATCATACTCAGGCGTGCCAGGTTCAGGCATGAACCGACGGCTTATGGATGGGCGATTTGGGAGGTAGCCTCCATAAGGATATTGTCCAAAATTCACTGCCGCATGAAGAGCAGAAGCCACCCAGATGATAATTGTGCATGTGTCTGTTAGTTCTTTACGTGTGTGCATCTTAGGCCACCAAGACTCTTCTTTCTTGTCACCATGACCCTTGTGCCTAAGTTCTTCCCACCAGGACTGGAGTTCATAGTCTTTCTGAATCATGTCATCAGTCTTATAGTAGACTGAACAATAGTCTTTCACCCATGTTTGGATCGCTGACCATATTTCAAGCCCATCAACAGCGTATGGGTAGTCCTCTATTAGCAGGCGGAGGCCATGTGGAGAGTTGGGGTCCTCAACTGCCATTCCTCTGAATGAAGTAATCGTTACCATTTCCAGTCAGTAAGATCAAAATTTATTGAAAGCTTTCACTATTCTTTTTTAAGACCATTGTAATAAGTAATAACACTTAATTTTCTTTTGCTTGAAATCGTTCAGGATATGCATGTTAAACCATTGCATGGCTCACATTCGGAGTCTTAAATTTTAAAGTGCCAAAGTTATTTAGACTGATGGATATACCTCTTTACGAGATCTGCGGGGAGAGCTTGCTCAGTGAAAACCCAATCCTTATAAACGACAGCTGACATTTCCATTGCAAACTTCCCAGGAAAAACTGTTTTCTCAAGCATTCCGCCAGCATTTATAAGAGTTTGCCGAGCCAGTGCATTTATGTTCATGGTGTCACGGAAGTGAGGATGCAAAAGCTTGTAAATTGGATGAAGGATGCTGAGCTGCCTGTTTGTTGCAATCACAAATGGCTCAATCACTGCATGAGTATTCAACCTGTCACGATTGAAAAGCCCATTACACCTTACACCCTAAATTATAATCAATAAAACTAAGCTTTCTCAGACAGCTTTATACCAGTGACAATTCAGTTGATGATAGCCAGAGTCATTAACGGCGACATAAGCTTTAGCCAACTGCCAAATGGTACTTTCAGTGCCATGTTCTGCTGGTGTGTACACTCTGCTAACAGCTCCACATTGATCCCCATCTGGATGCGGCAAGCTCAATTCAATTGCCAATGGCTTTAATGTCCCATCTTTTTTCAAGAAAAGGAGCGTCCTTGTTGCGTAAGTCTTTGTGGAAGTTGAGTTTATCCGGCTCAGATATGGCATAAGTGTGTCATGATGATTTAATATGAATATCCTGTTCTTCTGGATTGCCTATCAAAGAAAATGATTTACAGTTGTAATGGTTTATGTGTAAGCAAGAGTTATCTAAATAAGACTATTTTACTGAAAAGTTTGAGTAAAAGATGATATCTGTCAATAGTACCTCATCTATGGTCAACCCCTCTAGGCTATTCTTTATGTGTTCTTCAGTAATTGAACTGGTTTGGTTGCCATGTAGCTTGGGGTCTAACTTGCTTGTTGGAGGGAACTCCTGAAGAGAAATGTAGTTCATATAATTTTAAGATTCTTAACAGATATTGATAGCCAATATGTACAGAAGAAGAAAAGAATACTTAATGACCAATTTAAGCTTCCAAGTTTGTCGCTTTGAATCGATTTTATCCTGAAACAATATATCACAAAAAGCTTTAGTTTACCTGGAGACGCTGGATAACGACAGGGTTCACTCCAGCCAGCATTTCTCTTGCAAATTCTTCATCTGTCCTCCATGCTGACTTATCTTCTGCTTCAAACAATTTAGAGTTAAATGGAGAAAATCATACATTGGGGGTCAATATTCTAAAGATGCTAGAGTAAGTTGTGAGGTGCTAAAACCAAGTTATGCTATCCAACAATGGCTGCTTTGGAGACATTTACGATACCTTTGATTACTTGTGGAAATGGGAATTTGAATGGCCGCTCACCATCTGATCGAAGCAGTTCCTTGAGCATTTCGAAGGGGATGTGTTCTGTAATAGTGTTGAGTAAAGAATCACTGGATAGCTTGATTCCTCCTTGGTACAGTTTTAGTACATCTTCAAGTGTGTCGAATTCATTGGGGGTTCTATCAAATAAAGCCTCAAACTCGGGCGCAAGGAATTGAAATATCGATTTGAGTGCATAAGCGGTAAAATCTGCCATCTTCAAGTAACTGAATCTTTCATCTCTAGGGACATAAATATTTAAGCTTGCATATAGTGGCAACCTGCTTTCACTTTTGGGATCTGTAAAGATAATTCCAACAGATCAACACAACACTAACAGTAATTTGAGTTTCAATTGCGTCCATTACCACTTGTTTTTTGGTATTCTTAATGATCATGATCTAGTAACCAAATTACTTCCTGTTGCATATAATGACGTCAAGCACTAGGTTGACGACTGGCTGAATATTAGTACAGATGACTTACCTGAATTTGCTGGTGGTCTGCCTGTTCTTCCCCTTCGAGGATAAGGGTACTCAGTAGACCCTCCAAGAATCTTACGGACGTGTTTCAGGCCCTTATCTGGATTGCCCAAATCGTTGTAGATATCGTAGTCATAAACACGGTCCCATTCCGCAAGCTTTCCAGTTCCATTTCCTCTCAGGTTCTCAAGTTCTTCTTTTCTGTAGTGTTGTAGTGGCGCTGGTGTTTGGCTTGGAAGGTATGTCTGTGAAATAAAATGGGAACTTGATCTTTAGTGGATAATTCACTTTTTTTAGAGTGACTCAATGGAATGCTATCTTAGTCATGAATGTCAACTTCAAAACGGAAATATTTATGGGTGCAAAACATGCAAAGGGCATATTTTCGTACAGAGATATCAACGTTGGATTATGTGTTACTTGGATAACACATAGTTCCAATATCAACAACAGGAGCAGAGGATTCCGGTGTCTTTGAACTCTTTGAAGTATTCATTGGGATACAAGGAAAGAGTGATCCTGGATTCTGACATGAATAAGTATGTCTTGATGTAACTTGAGCAATCTATTCAACCATTGAGCTATCATTTCTATAAAGATTTACATTCGAGAAACAACCAAAAGTTTTGTTGTAATGGCTAACAGAAGTGAATTTTTTTTTTTTTTTTTTGGTGAATTCCCTTCTAAAGACCTCTTTAGGAGGAAAAAAATGGTACCTGATTAGTGAAGAAAACACGGTCTTTCTTGTAATGTTCTGCTGGCCCAACCCAAGAATTGCAGACAAAGTGGATCTCACCATGAGTACTTACATCTTCAAGAGTTAGGGTCTTTAGGTAGAATTCATTGTGGTGAAAATTTTTAATTAGGAAAGCCCCCGGAGCTCCAATCTCCTCATCCCAATCAAATGTAACATTGAATGTTGAATTGCCTACTGTTGGAGGGGTGACTTTAGTTATCCAATCTTCAAGGTAAGCCGGTTTTCCAAGTTTCCCTCGGAACCCTTTGGCTAAAAAGACACCAAATTCAGTCTCAGTTTCATAGTTTAGCAAATCAAATTATCATGAAGAAATAACAAACAAAAAGAGAAGCTCTAACTAATTCAATTTTATTTCTTGCAAAATTATCTCTTTGGTCACTAAAAAAAGTCCTCTATTGTGGATGCATTAACTCTAGGTATCCTCAGAATGGAGGTGGATGCATTAACTCTAGGAATTCCCAGACTGTCAAGTATGGTGCCTTACTGCTTCTGTAAGACTGGTAAATTGGATCTATGCAAGCATTGGTTGATTATTTTGCAACGCCAAACTTATAAAAGCGAAACCCTTAACAAAGCTCAAAGAACAAAACAAACCTGCCACCATAAATACAAGATGAACAATAAAAGTTTGGAAACAGAAAACAAGAGAATATTTCCCAGCAGTAGAAAATCACTACCCACTAAAAAGTTTCAACAGCTTAAGCTAGATTTGCAACAGGGTACAACATAAGTTAAAATATATGTCCAGCTGGACTAAACTGAATCAAGGGATCAATACATTTTACAACAATCCAATGCAAAAGCTATGCCAATCAATCGAATTATAGTATCCCAAGCAAGCCTGACTTTGATTACTTATACAAAGAATTTTTTTGGGGCAGAGGTCAAAAGTAATTCAAATACAATACCACCAACTGCAGAGCAAGATTTAGTCCATCAGTTCCGTAGCCTCAGCAGTGCAGGATTCGACTAGAAAGAAGTTAGGATCAATCCAAAGAACACCATCTTGTTAAAACTTTATCAGATTGAGTCCTACTCTTCTCCTGCTAACTTGGGTACAATACCAAACAGAAAGTGGTACCATATTGTGGCGATTCAACAGGTGGATAAAATGTATTGCTACCCAAAAACAAAATAAAAAATGAAGAAATTAAATAAACTGTACTCTAACAAGCAAATTAGTAGATACCTGGGTCACCATGAACAGCACTGATAAGCTGGAGAGAGACCTTATGGCCAAGTATCTCATCAACCCCATCAACAATCGAAGCTTTGATGTCCTGCAACTCCAAAATGTTCTTCTTCATTAAAACTACAGTACCCTTGATCTTCTTTCTCTCACTTCCCTCCTGTTTCATTCTCTTATTTTCCCTATTTTCATCCATGATTGAATGATGATCAGTAACATTTCGAGACATTTCTTCCTCGTTTCTGAAACAAAAATACAGAAGCAGCAATAAGCAATTGTTATGAGTAAGCTGTTCTGATGGAATGAAGGTGAAAGGCTTGGTAGTACTTAAAGGCAATTAAAGGTATTGATGGTGCTTGCTATTACTGAGAAGCTTCACATGTTTAGAAGCTGGAATAGAATTTCCTTTGTCTTTTTAGAAAGACTTTGGATAAAGACTTTTGATTATCTCAATTTAATGATCAATGCAATTAACACTTATAAAATTAATTTAATTTATTAATAATTCCAAAAAAAAAGTCTAAAAATTACTGCCACAACCGTACTCTTATACCGTATTAATTTTTTAGATTAAATATCATTACTTTTAATTTAATTGAAGTCCCTCTAGTGAAGCCATTCAATTTTGAGTTTATGATTTGTGGGTCAGGTGGGCCCGGCCGATCCCGGTATGTGCACTGACTCAGTCTATTTTTTCAAGCATTTGAAATGTCTTCGTCTTATCCGATAGGAAAGGAGGAATGGAGGATCTTAAAACTCTCTAATTTTTAGTTTATATTTGCATTTTTAAGCCCTCTATCTTGTAATTTTACACTTTGTTATTGTAATTTATCATCTTTTACAAAAGCGGCATATCTCAAAAAAAAAAAAAAAAAAAAAAAATATATATATATATATATATATATATATATATATATATATATATGGAGGAGTGTCTGTCAAGGTAAAATTAGGAAAAAAATTTAAATTTTGTGTAAACTACAAGGAACTTTGTGTGAATGTGTTGCATGATATTCTATATTATATGTTTAAAAAATCAATTATTTTCAATGACAAAATTTTACTAAACTTTGTTCCTAAAAATGAAAAATACAAAAAAAAAAAAAAAGAAGAAGAAGAAAGAAGAAGCAGAAGCTGAATTAGATCAGAACTCTCCCACTTTCCCATTAGATTACTTTACTTCTTGAATTTGCACATATGCAGCACAAATCTCACAGCAGGTCTCTCCACAATGCACTACTAGGGCAAATTCACTTTGAAGTCAACCCCCCATTAGGGCCATAGCACTATAGATATGCGTGATAGAACTTTGACGCAGCTAAAATTTTGTTTTTTTCGAACGTTATGAGTTTGAGTTGCGAACATAGTCTCTTCACATAAGATTACACTGAATCATATAAATAGTTTGCCTATTGCAAATGAGGGATGAAAGATAAGACTGAGAGGTGTAATCCAATAGGGGGTTCACGATTAGTAGTCGAGATAGACAGTGTGGTGCAAGAGGATAAATTTGGACAAACCAATCAAGTTGTGCATCATTAGAGTTAATTGGTCCCATCGGATGTTGTAAGGTCTCAATAGTGGACCTAATAATTTAGTGATTGGTGATTAAAATTGACCAACATAAAGGAAATACAAAATTGAGAGGATATAAATGTATAAGAATAAGTATTGTACAATTAAAAAGTCATGTTGAATGATGAGTTGGTGAATCCTACACCGGTTGAAAACATAACTAATAAGAGTTGGGTGAAACTAACATTGAAGAGATGTGCAAGAGAACTGTCAATTATTATTGTTATTATGAATTGTGTTAGATCAATGAACAATATGCTGTTTAAGACATAAATAAATAAATAAACAAAATAATGTAGAGGGTGGACTAAAAATGAAATGGGTAAGTTGATTCTATTATTATAAATGTACCAGCTGGTCATTGGAGTCCAATCAACCATTTGAATTCAAGAATGTAGACATTGAAACCAGAAGTCAATCTCCACCTAGCCCACTGAATTTGAGCCCCACAGATACAATCGATCATTGTATTATGTGAGGAAAAATTCTGTAGCTAGCACGTTCGGGTCAGACCACCAAGGGATTAGTCCGGGGTAGCCTCTAAAAAGGCTCACTTTCCATTCCACGGTTGGTCGTGACTTAGAAAAATCTCAATCCCCCCTCTTTTTCTTTTAAAAAAATGAGTTTTTTTTTTAATTGTAAAAGAAAAACAAGTTTGAATCAGTGTAATGGTGTTCCATTGTGGTCAATACAATCTTATAAAAATAACAAAATGAAAGAGCAACTAAATCCACTTTTTGGTTTTTTTGGCGAGGTTGGCTCCAAAAATCAGCTCCAACGTGCTAGCCATCTTTCTAGCTAAAATCTAGGAGGACCTTCATACTCGCCAGATCTGGAGAGGGAGAAGTAGCTTGCCAGCTGCTCACTTCTCTTCGTTCATCGTCTTCTTCTTACCCCCATGAAACCCACCACTCCCCATCATCCCCAATTCCAAACCCCCCTCTCTCCTCCAATTCTAAAAACCCCAACTCCGAAATAGCCCTTCCATTTTGAAAACCCTAATTCTGAACCCCCCTCCCCCCCCTCCCCAAAAAAAAAAATTCCAAACCCTCCTAAATTCTAAAACCCCCTTAGTGTTATGTATAATGAAATATTAATGCAAGTATTTGTGAAAATCTTAGGTTTATGAGACATATATCGTGCAATTGGTTTGTGTTATTTGAAGTGGTTGGGTGTTAAATTGTTATTAGGTTGTGTTATTTGAAGTTTGATTAGAATTATTTTTATGGTATGGTTGGGTTGATGATAATACATGGTTTGAGGTGATTACATGAATAATGTATATTTTGGGTTGTAAATATGACCGTTGTAAAATTTAAAATTTGAAACTTTGATGACCGGACACAATATGTTATCATGCATCATCATCATTATGGCGCTTACGTGTTACACTAAGTGACATTTTTGAATTATATTATTGAAAGTTAGTTAAAATTAATTGAAGTAGTTAGTTAAAATAGAGAATGTGGTTGGAGTGAACTTGAAAAAATGGCTTGTTAAAGTAGAGAATACAATATTTAAATATATTTTCGCTAACCATTTTGTTGAACTGGGCTGGAGTTGCTCTAAATGTCATGCCCCATCCCGGTCTCCCAAGGATTAGACGTGACTAGATTTTTGATACACTTGTTTACATATATAATTTGGATTAATAAGACACTCCCACAGGTGCAACAATACCACCTATCACCTTAGTCATTTAGCATGATGGTAATATTTGACTCATAACATATACTATATATAACACATGTACCATTTTTTTCCAAGCTATATACATATACAAAATCCCACACCCACATTTCATACATCATAAAGTATGCTTGTTGAGTCTGTTTACCATTATACACTATTAACCTACTATAATAATCTCTTACTTAATATAATATACAACCCAACAAATAATTATACAGACACTCAACTCGTATCACTCAACCCATTAAAACTAAATACATAATTAACAGACATACAACCTAAGTAATATCACACTAACTTTGCTGGACCACTCTGGACTGAACTCAATTCCACGAGACAGTACTCAATCGACTGGACAGTGGACTAATTTGCAATTCCCTTTATAGTGCCTAAAAAAAGGAAATTATATAGGTGTGAGCTAAATCATGTGCTCAGTGAGTCTACATGATGTATATGAAATAGAAATAATAGTAATACACAAAAATAGGTAGGTACTACGTAGATACACGTATCAAACAATAACATCAATCCAATTTCAAAAAATTCGCAAGCCATAACACATCTATACTATCCCTTATCAGGTAGTCGATCCCATAAGGACTCGTGTCTCTTGAACCTCCTGGGAACATCATAGTGCTAGCACACCACTGCATGCCCAGTGATCAAGTATCGACGCTTTTGTCTCAAACAATGCGACACATTTCATAATACACAATACACAGTACAAAGTATCATTCAATCACATAAGCATGTAGCACATAATTCTGAATAATTGCTATTAAATTCTACCATTTACTATCATCTTATAATAACATTTTCAAAACATATAAAGATATATACCCACCTCAAGTGTACAAATTTACAGGTCTTCGGACCTACTAGTGGATCCCTTCGGTGTTTTCGTATTTGTCTCAACACCTATTGTTCTACCTGTTTCACCTAACAAATTTGTAATTATAATATTAATATGTTTATCACATTTAATAATTAATCATGCACTAATGTATGCAAGATGATTCGACTCGAAGTGCCTTGGTAACCCCAGTTACCGCACTGTCCACTCACATACAGACACATTAGATTTAAAACAACCACACTTAAACTCACATACACATTTGATCATGCAGAACAACCTCTTCATTGAACACTTAAACCCTCCATTTCACTCCCACAAATCACGGTTTCAACCTAGCCAGCATCTTGAGCATCTCAAATGTTCGTTTTCCATACTTTTGTAACACCCGGTTGAATACCCACTTAAAACTCTTTCTTAACAGCCCTTTAATTATGCTTAATACACTTAATTAGAGTCACCCAAAGTCTCTTTTGAAATCTAAATAAAACAGCCCACACACACACGCACACACTAAAATGAACACAAACACCCCCTTATACCTTTCTCTTGCTTTCTTCTTCTTTCACCACCTTCTTCTTGCCCTCTCTTACTCTCGGTTTGGCATGGAGGTTTCCCCCAAGTTTCTCCCTTTGTCTTCTTTCTTCTCCCTCTCGGTTTGAACTAGAAGCACCACCAAAAGCCTGGTTTTTCTCTCCCTCCTTGCTCATGGCTCAAGAAGACACACACACACACATATATTTTCTTCTCTCTCTCTTGTTGTCCCTCACTCACGGTTTTAGGGAAGAAAGAACACACACACACACACATACTAAATCATGTTTTAAACACACACACACACACTACTACACCTTAAATTACACACACACTCCACACCTTAGAAAAAACACACACACACACACATCCATCTATCATTTTAATTGACTCATCCACTTCATATTTCAACACATGTAAGGATGACTCATTCTAATTTGATAATTATGCTTGCCTCCCCTAAATTCTTAAGTGATTTTAAAATTGACCCACTACTATTTTCACACATGCAATTTCTATAAATGAGTCTCACTAATACATCACTAATGGGGTCCACATGCCCGATTTATGCTCACACACATTATGGCTATGAAGGGTTTACTTTAATTAACCCTTTAATAGTTTTGTATAATTAAAATTTACCCCACATAATTATGCTAACATGCATGTAATGCATGATCGAGTCTCACAATTCTCCCCCACTAATAAAAATTTCA